TTCCTTGCCCCTCCGACCCTTGCGAGACTCTCGGTTCCTTGATTCGGTAGGCTGCGCCTACCGCCTCCAACGAATCGCGGCACGCGGCAGAAAATAGGAAAAATGAAATTCCTCCGTGTACCCGCGACCGTCTGTCTCTCCACCCTCTCTTCGCCAGGGCTCCTATCGGCCCTTCCCCGACGGGCGAACGGCGCCGCGCCGGTACGCTCGTGCCGCGGCGAGTATTGAATATTCAAAACTTTCCTCGCGGAAGAAACTTTCGCATCTTGCGCAACCTGCCGAGGAAGAGGTTTAAGACGGAGGTGGAGGCTCGCCTCGCCTCGCCTCGCCTCGCCTCACCTTTCCTCCTACGTTTTCTCTCTCTCTCTCTTTCATTCTATCAGTGTTTCTCTCTTTTCCTAGTACTTTCTCGAGCCTGCTCGCGGACTTTCACGTGATTCCATCGCTCTCTCACTGCAGCAGACAGATTTGATTTTATGAAAAGCCGTGGAATCGTCTGGAAAATGTGAATAATTGTTAGTTTCTGAATTCTTCGCGGCTCGATACGCCGTCGCGCGGCCCGGAGTTTCTCAGAGCAAGGGGGTGAGAATCGTTTGTGGTTCTCCTCCGAGAACAGCTCTTTCTTCTCCCGGGAGGAATCTCCGTCTGTTCCGTTTATTGGCAATACCTTCCGTTTAATTGTAACTTCTGGAAGACTTCCTTCTATTATTATTATTTTTTTTCCCCCTTCTGTTTTTTGGTATCGCTCCCAGCTGAAGCGCAGTTCCAAGCTGAATTAATTAAACGGAAGTTCCTGAACTTCAAGCGTGGCAGCTTGTCGTAAATAGTCGCCATCCAGAATTCTCTTTGCACTCGAATTTGCACCCTCGCTGCCTGATACGCTTTGATGTGGACCACTTTGGAGATTCACGAGCGCGATGCATATCCGTAGATTGCAGCTTACAAAGAAGCTCCTCTGGGCATTTCTACACACTCTTATCATAAATAAACTATCGACCATGCATACTTGCGTGAGAACTATGCCATATGCAGCGAAGTGCATAATGGCAACGAACAATTATCGATAATTTAAACTGATATAACTTAGCAATGCAATTAAAAAAAAAAAATTGTACAACGATCCATTTTAAATGAATCGTCTGTTTTGATAGTCGT